ATATATATATATATACTATATTTATTTATTTCAATTTATAATCAAAATATATATTTTTCATTTATAATATAATAATTATTTATATATGACCAGTACATTTTCTCAATTCACCCATCATTGATTGACTAGTGTCTAGTGTGATAGAGAGATAATTGGACCATTTTTAATTGATGTGTCAGGATTCATGATTATTCTTGAGGTCAGGACTACTAGAGATGACATGGTTCTGAACTGTGGACAGACAAAGATGTCACAGAATGACGTGGGGAATTCAGAAAGCTCTCATTATGCACTGCACGTCCTAAACCGTGACAGTGTTTTTGTTGTAACTGGGCAGCATTGTGTTTTTTGAGTTGAGCTCGTCTTCCCGAGGGAATTCAGGAGACAGGGTTTGCAGCAACAGTTGAAGTCTGTGAAGATCTGTGGCCAGGCGGCATGCTTTTAATGCCATGGGCTTGATCTAGAATCGCTGTCCTACATTTTTGTGTCTATGTGGCGCAATTACAGAAGGCTGCCAGGCTCGTAAGACAATACATGACATGTGAGCTAAGTCCATAAACCAGCAAGGCTTGGAATGAGCAAGTTTTATGTAAATGCTCCCTGATAACAATCCGTCTCATATCATCAAGAGTTCAAAGTTCAGACCGCTGAATCAGTAAACCTTTCCTTGCTGAAAAAATCAGTGATGATCTGATAACAGAAGGCAGTGAGACGTGCAGTGCATGGTTCTCTACTTCATTCACATTACGCTATGCTCAGCATGTGACTAACACCGTCCTTGCTGAGAAAAGTGTATTTTAGAGATGCAACGCAGCAGATTCTCTGATATAAATCTACTGATATTATTGGCTTGAACTAGATTATGGTATCTGTATTATATGTGGCTTTCTACGATCAGTCTACCAAATGCTCTTAAATGCACATAAATGACTGCCAAAATTCTTTAGCAAACAAGGACATTTATTAATCACGGAAAATAACATATTATCTTGTGAAGAACTTTCTCATGCAAAACTCATGTTGTGAATGGTCACCAGGACGTTGCAAGGTTGTTTAGTCATTGCTAGGGTGTTTTACTAAGTCTTTTTGAGAAATAACATCATATCTCTGCTTAACAAACAAGATTTGAGATATCAGCCATGGCTGCTGCACATGCAGTGGATTATGAGCTTTGTGCCAAAGTTTAATGTTTATACCTCAAATACCCAACTACAGTATGAGCAATATTAATAGTAATAATAAACACCTTAAAGGAATTGTTCACCCAAAAATGACATTTACTCACCATCAGGCCATCCAAGATGTAGATGAGTTTGTTTCTTCATGGGAACAGATTTGGAGAAATGTAGCATTGCATCACTTGCTCACCAATGGATCCTCTGCAGTGAATGGGTGCCGTCAGAGAGTCCAAACAGCTGATAAAAACATCACAATAATCCACAAGTAATCCACATGACTCCAGTCCATCAACTAATGTCTTGTGAAGCGAAAAGCTGTGTTTCAAATCGAATCGAATCGAAAATCGAATCGAATTGAGAGCTTGAAAATCGAAATCGAATCGAATTGGAACATCTGAATCGATACCCAGCCCTATTTCTAATAAATAAATCCATTGTTAAGATGTTAACTTTAAACTGTTGCTTCTAGCTAAAATATGACTCCTCTATCCATAATATTGCTTTGTCCAGTATAAAAAGTTGTCTCATCTGACTGTTTACAAGTCAAAACAGTCCAAAACAGTTTCAAACAAATATATTGGTGGATTTTGATGTGAGAGGACAACAGGAGATGGACTTTTTTAATGGAAAAAGTGTTGTTATGGATTATGGACTGGCATTTTAGCAAGAATTAACAGTTTAAAGCTAAAACAACCTTAATGATGGATTTGATTCTTACAAAAACACAGCTTTTCCTTTTACAAGACGTCAATTGAGTCGTGTGGATTATTGTGATGTTTTCATCAGCTTTTTGGATTCTCTTTCTGACGCCATTCATTACGCCATTCATTCACTGCAGAGGAACCATTGATGTAATGCTACATTTTTCCAAATTCAAAGAAAAAAATTCATCTACATCTTGGAAATTTTTAGCAGATTTTTGGCTGTTTTTTTTTTTTTACAGTGAGTTGTAGGTAATGAAAATAGTTGACTTAACCATCTGTCATAATTTTTGTCTTTGACAGATTGTGTATGTCACTGCCACGTTCCCGTATGTGGTCCTGATTATTCTCCTGGTGAGGGGCGTCACTCTTCCTGGTGCTTATGATGGGATCATGTACTATGTCAAACCTGACTGGTCTAAGCTAGGAGAGGCACAGGTGAGACCTTCAGTTCTGTCTTCCAGCTTTCTGTAGAGCTTCAAACCTCTCTACCGCTTTGGATGAAATCATTTGATTTTATCCAAATGAATAAGTGTAAAAGTAATTCAGTACGCTTCATTATTTTTTTCTCAGTTTATTTACTTTTCTCTCTCTGCTTATAGGTATGATGCACAATACGGTTTCATTTTAGTGTTTCTAAGAACGTTCAAAGTTTTAAACTTGACTTTTATGTCCAGTACCTGGAGCCACTTTGAGCTCAATAATCATTTCAGATGTGGATCTGTTTGTCTGACTGTCATTACTCTTTCTGTCTCTCTCAGGTCTGGATCGATGCTGGTACTCAAATCTTTTTCTCCTACGCTATCGGGCTCGGAGCCCTCACGGCCCTCGGCAGCTATAACCGATTCAACAATGACTGCTATAAGTAAGCCTCCGCCACAGCCTTGAAGAGACAAGGACACATTTTTGTTATGACGTCTTTTGCACTTTCTGAACCAGTGTGTTTTCTTTTTGAAAGACGTTGTGTCTAGTACGTTCACGCCATCAGAGAGTCCTGACCTTGTCTTACATGTAGCTGGATTTGAATGATGATGTGGCTAGCAAAGAGCAAACGGCCTCTCACTTTAATAGTAGATCTCAAATGTCCTGGATACATTAGTAACCAGATGCACTCAATCAGCAGTTCTTTGCTTTGACTTTAATGTACAAAGCACTTTGGCTGGTTATATATACACATTGACAGTCTGGGATGATTTAATTCAAAATTGGAAATAAAATATTTTAGGATTTTATATATTTGTCATAAAATTTTTATTACAATTTTGATTGCTGGAGATTTGCGCTTTTTTAGGTTATTAATCAAATAAGCAAAAGGAGACATAACTAAATAGGCTACTGTGAAATTTAGAAATTCATGCACATTTTTAAAATTCAGCTTTTCACTTCAATTATCATGTTAAAAATGTGTATTCAATTAGAAGTGAATATTATTACTAAATTACTACAAAAATGCCTTTATATAATTAATATGATTAATGCCTTAATATTTTGATTATTTTATTAATTTTTTATTTTTATAGTTCGTTTTATTCATTAAATTGATTAATTGTGATTAATTTCAGAAAAAAAAAGTGCGATTAATTAGTTAATTTTTTTTGATGGATTGACAGCACTAGTGTTAATCTTTTTTTTTTTTTAATAAAGTATTATTATAATTATATTATTTTATTATTGACTTATTATTATTCATTATTAATAAATTAACATTTAATAAATAATTGTAACCACAGTTATGGTACATTAGGTACATTATGGTACATAGTATGTACAAATTCAAGGTTATACATTTTAAGAGTGCAGTGCATTACGACACATGATATCTCATAAAAAATTATGGTATTTAATGCATTATATTCTTTATTCTATAACCTTGAGTAGATAAATTATTGAAATAATTGTATTGTAGCAGTATTTTGAATTATTCACAAGAATATAATACTGACAATGAGGTGGCATTATTATATGCCTTTTAACTGAAATAAAATTATGACATTTTTAATTCAGTATACACTATTTAGGCTTCATCTAATGTGTTACACAACCATCTGACTGCATTCAAATAAAGCCCAACACATGCCAAAACTGAGCTGCAGTTAATGTCTGTGTTTTCTTCTCTTCTCAGGGACGCTTTTGTTCTGGCTTTTATTAATAGTGGCACCAGTTTCTTTTCTGGTTTCGTGGTCTTCTCCATCTTAGGTTTCATGGCGTCTGAACAAGGTGTGGACATCTCTAAAGTGGCTGAATCAGGTAAGAGCCTACAGTCATTTACTTCATTACAGGTGACAGATTATGTACTATACTGGATGGTAAGACAAACAAATGTATATTTTAAAAACATATTTATGTGTCTGCCAGCCCTGAAACTACGTGCATCTTAATGCAGGTGTTTAATAATTTACTTTCACTTGTTTTTAGTGCACATAAGTGAATGCATTTCTGACCTGGGGCTGGTTCTAGTAAATAATTTATGAAATCAATGTTTAATGCAAGAATGATCTGCTGAAAATGAATGAAACATGCATTGTGTGAGTCATGAACATATGTGATATGATGATGATGATATTATACAGTAAATGAACTTCAGTGCAGTGTGATATGTGGCTTGTATTGTTTATTACTGTAAATGTTTATTGTTGGATTGACAATACAGTTGAAAGCAGAATATAAATGATCATGTTTATACACAATGCTATTTGCTCTTAGTCATATTACTGTGAAAGGGACCAGACGATTAGCAGTTTGTGTTTTGTGTGTGTGTGTACCTGTTTTTCTATTCTGGTGGGGACTTAAACCTGAATACACACAGACTCATGGGGACTCGTGTCACGGTGGGGACCTAAATTGAGGTCCCCACGGGTAAACAAGCTAATAAATCACACAGAATTAAGTTTTTTGAAAATCTAAAAATGCACAAAGTTTCCTGTAAGGGGTAGGTTTAGGTGTAGGGTTGGTGTAGGGCAATAGAATATACGGTCTGTAGAGTAGAAAAACCATTACGCCTATGGAGAGTCCCCCCAAGGATAGCAAACCAGACGTGTGTGTGTGTGTGTGTGTATGCAGACTTGTTTATGTGTGTGAGTTTATAATGGGAATGCAGGTATGTGTGTATGTTTGTGAGTTTCAGCTATCACAATCAGTACATTCTTCTTCCTATATGCTGTCCTTAAACACTGAGGACGATATAATTCCCAGAATGCAATGCCTTGATTTTACATACACAAACGCAAAGACATTGATTACGATTTAATTCTAATTTTATGTTTAAGTTAATAATACTTAGACTAAAATACTGATCATCCTTGAATAAGCATCACAGACTAGACTAATAGACTAATAGTATGCGGCATGAATTTAACGCCCCACATGTTCTTGTGTGACGCTCACGCATGCAGACGTGTTAGTTCATAACACATAGGCCTACATGTTTCACATTTAAAGTGTGAACACCAGACGTAGGCTTGCTGTCGCTCAGATTTTTGTGAAGCTAACTAATAATCTGTACATAACATGACCATCCTACAAGATTGACATTAAATTCACGCCTTTTTGCATAAATATCTTGCTAAAGGCTGTTGCATAAAGAAAAAATGCATACGAGCACACACTATAAATGTTAGGAAACCAAATCCCCAAATTTTCTGTACTGATTTCATCAAGAATAGTGAGCATGAATCTAGATGGTTAGTAAAATGATAAGCTGATACTGAAACTGATAAGCTACCACTAAATATTGTAGAAACTTAATTTGCTGTAAAGTTGCTTTGCAATGAGTTGTATCGTGAAAAGCGCTGTACAAATAAACTTGAATTGAATAGTAAAATGTTTTATAAATGTTTGTTTTATAGCCAGCTTCTTCATGCACTGTAAAAAATATTTTTGGAGTTGTAAAGAATGCAAAGATTACTAGAGTACATTTTAAAAGAAAAAAATGATTGCAGTCTTTCTACTTCAAAATTTCATGTTTAATTCAATGTGTTACTTGCAATTTGTTTGAAAAATTTTCACTCAGAAATTTCTAGTAAAATTTCAAATTATATATGTATCACATTATATAACTTGTCTATAGACACATGGACATTAGCTTGCTAAAAGTATTATTTCTCCCAAATTATTGTCTAAAAAATTAAACTGCTCATTTATTTATTTATTGCCATAACAACCTAGTTGTTCGGAATTTTGCTTGGTGAGCTCATCAGCAATGATAACATACATTCAGAAAATAACAACACATATACATAAATACATCTATACATACAGGTGCATCTCAATAAATTAGAATGTTGTGGAAAAGTTCATTTATTTCAGTAATTCAACTCAAATTGTGAAACTCGTGTATTAAATAAATTTGTGTAGCCTAGTGAACCAAACTGAGAGACCATTTTGAAGGCTCAGGAAACCTTTGCAGGTGTTTTGAGTTGATTAGCTGATTGGCATTTCACCATATTCTAATTTGTTGAGATATTGAATTGGTGGGTTTTTGTTAAATGTGAGCCAAAATCATCACAATTAAAAGAACCAAAGACTTAAACTACTTCAGTCTGTGTGCATTGCATTTATTTAATACACGAGTTTCACAATTTGAGTTGAATTACTGAAATAAATGAACTTTTCCACAACATTCTAATTTATTGAGATGCACCTGTATATGTCCTATGAATTACAGGGAGTGAAAATCAGATGCAGAAATACCAGAGGAATTAATAGCATGAACAATCCTACAATAAGTGCTGTTCAGAAAACGAGACAGTTTTAACTGCTCTAAGATGTCTGCATGAAGGTAGAGGCGTGAAGAGGTGTCTGGCTGGATGTAAGGGATCTTTCAGGATTGTTAGACCTTTTTTCTGTGAACGTGAGACATAAATCTCATCAATAGTGGAAAGATCACAACCAATCATTTTCAAAGCAGTCCCTATTATGTTACTAATCTGACTTCTCTGCTGAGCTGTGGAACTACCAAACCACACCATAATTGAGAAATTCAGCACGCTTTCGATCACAGCTCTATAAAAATTTAACATATTAACCTTAGAGACGCCAAACATTTTAAGCTGTCTAAAAAAAAAAAGCCTTTGATGGGATTTTTAAATAATGCGTCTTAGGTTTTCGTCCCACTTCAATGATGCAGAGATTGTAGTCCCAAGAAACTTAAAGCTTTATACATTTTCAATGTCCTGACCATTAATAATTAATGGCAAAACAGCATTTGACCTCCGTCGGAAATCAAGGACATTTAACTTCAGATTATGAGTACAACTCCATTCAAATAATGTAGATACCTCCCTTCTATAGTCAGATTCATTATTGCCTGTTATTAGATCAATCGATGTAGTATCATCTGCAAACTTAAAAAATTGCACTTTTCAATAAGCAACATTTTAATAAGCAACATTTTACAATCTGGTGGTTAGAAGATGTGTGAACATTAGGGTTGTGCCGATAGACGATAGTATCGTGTATCAACGATAGACAGAGATATTGCCTGTGGCTGATGCCTTTGACGATAGCAAGACGATTATTATTATTATTATTTTTATTATTATTATTATCAGGCTAGTAATACTATCTAATTAATATTAAGGCTTATTTGTTGCATTAGGCCTATATTTCTTTTTCCGCGTTTTTACAGTATTGCGCATTCTAACCAATCACACACGATTATGCTGAGCTTATGAATGCAATGGCCAATCAGAGGCGTTCAGATGAGTCATCGCTGAAACTGCGGAGTTCTGTTGTTCAGCGCGCGCTGACTGAATTCTGACTCGCGAATTCTCTCATTATAAACAACAAAGTGCAGATGTACGTGCGATGTAAGTACAAGAGATTTATTCATCATATAGTGTAGATTCACTGAGTTTAACGGGAGTGTTTTTAAAGTGCATAAACGAAAGTGCTTTTTGAATAACTGAGGAAATGTAAGCATTATAATTAGTAACTTACGATGCTTCTATTAATTTGTTATCATGTTAAATACAAATTCAGTCATATTAAAAACATTAGGCTGCTTTTAGCCTTACGCTGGAGTTGGTTCACTTTCTCGCAATGAAACTAAGTAAATAATTACATAGATTCGCACGATAATATCGTGTATCGGCGATCTCACAGTCTAACGATAGGACGATAGGAAAATTGAGCATATCGCCCAACACTAGTGAACATCACATCATATTCTGAACTAAAGACAACATTTTATTGAAACTTGCATATTTACTGACTCATCAACCCACCATCTGCATGCATGTGCATTTAACAAAATTTTTCTAATCAGTAAAATATACTATATAATAGTTCATCTTTGGGCCTGAAATTGAAATTCACACCAAAGTTAGCCCCAGAAATGGAAATTAAATGTAGTCAAACCTCCTAAGCCTATGAATTAGGTCTGAAAAACCTTTTAGACATTTTTTTTTTTTTACTGAATAATTCTGGTTTAAAATCGTAAAAGCTTGTAGCGGAGCTCCATTTAGTGCTAGTGGTATTTTACTCTTACCCCTGCATGGTAAATTAGTACTGTCATTTCAGAATCAGTTCAGCTTGCGGCGCAGAAGCAGTGAACTGGTTTGTTGAGGCTCAGTAAAGGACAGCATGTTCTTGGCCTGAAGGAGAGACTGTACAGCAAGACTAAATGAGTATGAAGTGATAATATTTTTAAATGACTTGGCAAGATGCTACGGACTTCATACAGAGTGACCCTCACGTCCTTGAAATGAATTAATTTTAATCAGATCGCTGCTTGTACATGTTGGGGTTAACACACCAGTGTACTGCATGCTTTAAAGGGGTCAAATCATGAGGAATCACATGTCCTTGCTCTTTCAGTAGGCTTTTCATGATGCTAAATTAAGTTTAATATTAATGTAGAATGTTACATGTTAGAAATTGAATGTAGATTGCAATAATTTTTCAATGAAATAACCACTGTTTCTGGTTTCGGAAGTAATTACTGTATTCAAGTCTCATTTTCATATTCATATTGTTGTTGTTATAATTTCGACATAATACACAGCAGCAAATTTACACTGATAGATCTGACAGATCCGACCACGGGTAACAAAATTAATTTCTAATCTGTACTAATTTTAGTACTTTTGTACTGTCACAGCAGGTTTGAACCCAGGGGTATTGTAGTTTACTAAAACTAAAACCATAGAAGAAAATACCACCCCCCCCCCAAAAATTACTTTATTTCAGCTAGTTACCAATGCAACATTTCTCATTTATCTATATATCTAATATCTATATATCAATAT